TCCCTTTCCTTTCTGGTCCTACTGGTCAACATACCTAATGGCCAGCGGCATGTCTTTTGCACCCTGGTGATTTCACCTCTGCAAGGGAGGGCTCGTTCCCTCCACACGTACTCATCGCCTGATGATATCATCGGGGGAAGGAGAACCTCACGAGGGAATGAGATCACCAGAGATATCATTTACCAGCGGAGGCTTTCCTATTCCTCCATGCTCACCACCAATGCCGTTCATCCAGAAGAGACAATCCCACATTCTGTTGCTCATCATGGGTTGTGGAATTATCATGGGATACGCAGTGCTGTGTAGTGCTTAGAGCGATGGGCTAGAACTCTGGAGACCAAGACCGGAGCTCCTTCTTGGCCATGGGAACTCACTGGGGGAGTGGAACCGGTAAAATCACTCCTTCGATATCCCATTGACCTTGAAAGTCCTATTAAGGTTGCTATAAATCAGTTACGAATTGATGGCCTATAACTAACTAAAAGAAGAGTGGTGTCTATGTATGTGTGATGGTCAGGTAGTCCTGGGGAACCCCAAACCACTGGAAAAGCACCATGGCTTGCAAATATAACATTCCAGGTTCAACTCTTAGTACAGTGGTGCCTCACTAAACGACGTTAATCCATTCCATCAAAGTCGCTGTCTTGCAAAAACATCATTTAGCGAAACACAGTTCCCCATTGGAATGCATTGGAATCCATTCAATGCGTTCCAACGGGGAAATCGTCGTGTAGCAAAAATCGTCCATAGGAAACCATCATCTTGTGAGCATGGGTCCCCATTGGAATGCATTGACAGCTACTCAATGCGTTCCAATGGGGAAAAATTGTTGTCTAGCAAAAATCGTCCATAGGGAACCATTGTTTTGCGAAGTGCAACAACGATTGCAGAAACCCATCTAGCGAATTCCTCGTCCCGTGAGGCAATCGTCTAGCGAGGCACCACTGTATTTCCACTTAAAAGGATCAAATAACAGGGAAGGTGAAACTACACAGAGCTGCTGCTGGTTGGAGAGGAAAATATTAGGTTAGTCCAGTGGTTCTCAACCTTGGGTCCCCAGATGTGCTTGGACTAAAACTCCCAGAAGCTTTCACCACTCGCTGTGTTGGCCGAGATTTCTGGGAGTTGTAGTCCAAGAACCCCTGGGGAGCTAAGGTTGGGAATCACTGAGTCAGATGGATGAATAACCTGACCTATTATGAGCCAGTTTCATATCAACCGGAGTGTAAAGCACGAGGGGAAGTTTTTCGGTCAGACTGAGATCTTGGCAACGCCACAGCATTACAGATACTGCGATGCAGAGGAGAAACTTGAGGGAAAGACAGCCAGCTTTTCACGCCGGGCAGCTGTCATCACTGTGAGTAACAGACCTGTGTTTTTCTCTTAGGTCTTGAGAAGGACTCCTCATGCAGCAACCCTACCAATACTGTGGTAAGTGGAAGGGAGGTTCCTGTTTTTTTTGGGGGGGGGGGAAGCCCCACCTCTCTGTGGGCCATGGTCTTCCATCCTGACCCATCACAGCCTTCAAACAGCATGATCTCTCTCCCGTTGATCCCTTACGAAACATAGAGGCATCTCTGTCGAAATCCCAAACAGCTGCAGATCAGGCCAAAGAGCCCCATGTTGGAAAGAGCTCTTGGTGTTGTGCCTGCTCATGTGCATGGGTTTGCGTGCTGCTACCACAGAAAGTGTGCCTCTTTGGACTGCAGATCCCATAATCCCTCATCTAGCACCACCACTGCATCTTACACTCCAGTTCATGCATGCATGAATTCTGTTATTTTGCTGCCTTCTGCAGGGGGGGGGGAGAGGGAGAATATGCTTCCCCCCACGGTTTTAGAGATTTCCAGGATTCTCAAATCTTTGGTCCTAAGAATGAGAACATTGTGCTTATTTTTAAACAGGGGAAATGGTGCTTCTTAGCCTTGCTGAATGCAGTGTCCTGGATAATTTGCGGTCATTTTTCTTTTCTTTTTAATACATTTGAACGGGATGGCAGAACACTGGAGGACCAGGCAGTGGCTGTGCATGGGTCAGAGTGGAACTGAATCTGGTGTCACGGGGGCTGGCCTTCTTGGGTCCCAGTTTCCGAAGCCCAACTGGAGATGGTTCTTACTGGTTTCTCCTACCTTGACTCCTTGCTAATGAACACACATTAGCAGATGTGAAGAGATGTCCCATGGGCTAGCTTGCTAGTGTTCTGGGCAAGGGTGTGGGTGTCAGCTGTGATCAGGAGGAGACAGTTTGCAAAAGTTACTTTTGTGCATTGTCCCCATCTCTCTCTCCCATTAACATAGATGCAAGCTTGAAGTTCAATGCATCCTCGGATCCAGATAGGGAATCTCCCTCCTGTAGTCCATACCTAGAGGGTGTCAGGTTTGGAAAGAGTCAGCTAGCAGGAAGAAGTCTTCTTCTTCTTCTTCTTCTTCTTCTTCTTCTTCTTCTTCTTCTTCTTCTTCTTCTTCTTCTTCTTCTTCTTCTTCTTCTTCTTCTTCTTCTTCTTCTTCTTCTTCTTCTTCTTCTTCTTCTTCTTCTTCTATGGGCACTGTTCAGTTTCTGTCTCATATGACAGGATTTTATGAGCGGTCACCGCCCTCATTGTGTTGCTTAACCCGCTGTGCAGAGAGCCATTGATACACAGCCTTGAGTTCACTGAAGGACAGGTGGCCTAGGAATGCAGAGATAATCACGGCAATAACGATGGTGATCAAATCATAAAAGCCACAATGGAAGGAGACAACAGGATAAAAAAATAATGCAACGATGCTAAAATCTTGCCTGCAGGAAGATCTTTTAACTCATTAACATAGATGCAAGCTTGAAGTTCAAAGCATCCTCAGATCCAGACAGGGGATCTTTTAACTTCTAGCATTCTTAGGATTTTGGAAACCTGAGATCTGGTTGATTTTGGATGTAGTGTTGTGGAGGCCTACCAGCCCTTTGTAAAATATTTGTTTAAAAATTAATTTCTAGATTTAAAAAAAGGATGTGAGAGATAAGCTATATTTACAAGGCCCTCTGCTGGTGGTTCTGCTGAGCTAGCCCTCTTGCTTGGCTGGACCTGCAGGGCTCCAATTAAGGTGCACTGCAGTCTTCTTGCAGGCACAGAGGAGAGGTTGAGGAAGGCTAATTTCCATATGTGTGTGTTTTAAAAATCCATTGTATTCTGGGGTGAAGCAGGGTTGATGGATACTTAGCATTAGAAAGTGCATTTATGCTTGAAATCAATCACAAACTGCTACCTGCAGGTCAGTAACTCCCATTTTATGCCATGTTACAGAGATGAGCAAATTATATTCTGTGGGCTACCTGCTGGCTGATGGCACTTAGTTTTGCTTTGTTCTGCAGATATTGTGGTGCTAAGACAGGGGAGCTTAATTATAGCTTGGTTTCACAGACATTTCACACTTCAAAAACTTTCAGGAGGTCCCAATCTTAACTAGAAATTTGTGTATTCTATATTCTCCCCAGATCTCTGATTTTCGTGCTTCAGATCTAGTATCTGGAAGGCTGGGTCCTCATCTGTATTATGCTTTGTCCAAAATTTGGTACCCATTGGTTTAGCTATCTGGCTGCGGAGCCGTAGATTGGGAATTCGATTCCCCACAGTGCCAGCCTGGGTAGCCTTGGGCAAGCTGCAGGGTCCCAGGGCGCCCCCTAGCGGAAGGGAATGGCAAGCCACTCCTGTGTATTCTCCGCCTGGAAAATCCTGAAAAGGGGTCACAATAAGTCAGAACTGACTTGATAGCACATTATTATTTTAATAAGAATGACCAACTTAGCAAAATGAGTTAAAAATAAAAGGCTGACTCTTGGTGTTTCCCAAGCTTGAAGTTTCAGCCGTCCAGACTCTGATTTCCAAAACTGACTTGACGGCACATTATTATTTTATTAAGAATGACCAACTTAGCAGAAGGAGTTTTTAAAAAAAGACTGACTCTTGGTCTTTTCCAAGCTTGAAGTTTCAGACTCTGGTTTCTAAGGTTTTTCATTTTTTTGTTTGCATTCATGATGCAATGGTGGAGTCAGGGCAACTCACACACAACCCCCTTGGGACCGTTGTTTTTGGCCCTTGGAGTGGACACGACCAATTTAGAAGCACCCTCCACAGTTTAAGGTGTGTTCATATTCTCTCTTGACCCGGTCCTGTTTCCTCACAGGGTCGTTCTGAGCTCTGTGCTGTGGAGAAGCCTCCTGGAATGACAACAGCTGGCGTGAAAGGAGGTGCCGAAAACCCCCTGGATGCCATTTGCCTCAGTGAAACCGACAAGATGGCGGTTCTGACTTTGATTAGAGAAGAGGTAAGAGCTTGGCTTGGGCCATCAAGGTGGAGGAGATGGAAGCAGTTGGGCGATGTTCCTTCAGCTCTCTGGCTGAAAGAACAGCGCTCCCTAGTGGGAGGCTGGTCCTGACAGTTACTCCTCCCCCCCTTTATTTAAAGTAAGACTTCTCACCAACTCCATATGTTGCTTTACAGTCAAGAGGACTAGTGTTTATAAAGCTAAAAGCTGTGGCTTGCTTTCATGACTTCTAGATCATCTCGAAAGAAATTGAAGCAAATGAATGGAAGCGGAAATACGAAGGAAGCCGGCAAGAGGTTTTGGAAATGAGGTAAAACAACGGTGATCACATCTGGACTCGTACGAGCTCCCCCACTCCCAGGGAACGTGTTTCTGCCCTTTTGCGAAAGCCAGGTGCAGAATTGCTGTGTCGCTACAGTCAGCTTCTCTTGGTGTAGACTCTGAAATGGAGCTCAGAAGAGTTATATTTTTTTGGACTCAAATCCCCAAATTCCCCCTTCTTCCAGGGGATTATGGGGATTGAAGTCCAAAAAAGTACTTCTTCTAAGTACTGAGCTTTTCCTACACACCTGTGTATACCTCCTCGCTAGTGTTTGTTGAAGTGGGGTGGTGCTGTTTCCCTGTTTTATTTGTGCATAACTTAACAGATGAACCGGTTGAGTCTAGATGACTGTTTGGGTGCTGTAAAATAGCATGTCCATCTAGGTAAGTCTTTGGTCTAAATCTCCAGCCTCTCCTTACATCAAGGAGAAACTTTATCTCCCATCTTCGTTCTAAGGCCTACTAAAAAGGGGGTGAGGTCCAAATCAGGATTTTCTAGCATGGTAAATTTAATCTTGTTGTATTTTAGGAGTAGACAGAGGACGGATCTGAATGTACTGGTAGATATCTGGGTAATTGCTAGTAGACTATCTAAAGATTTGTGACTCCCAGTTGGTTAATCAAAGCAAGAATGGAAAGAGCCTTCTTCTCCATCTCTATACTATCTTGCTGAAATGAAGATGGTAAGAGTACTAATCAGGAGTGGATTTTTTTGCATTTAGAAGGACTGTGAGTTCTGTGCTCCATTCAAACAAATTCTGGGGCTCAGCTTTCTTTAATTCAATGTGCAGGTTTCTTTTCCACCAGACTTAGGGTGGTGGATCGTGGGGCTGTAGTGGCAAAACACCTAACACGGTATTAAATAGAGCAGGGGTTACCAACCTTGTAGAGGTTCTTGGACTGCAGCTCCCAGAAGCCTTTGCCACCAGCTATGCTGGCCAGGATTTCTGGGAGTTGTTATCCAAGAACATCTGGGGACCCCAGGTTGGGAACCACTGATCTAGAGTGTTGGTCTTGATCTGGAAGCTAGGAAGTGCATTTGTGCATACGTATCTAGAAAACTAGCTAGGTCATTTGGGACCAGTTGGTCCCTCTGAGCCTCAGCTTCGTTATAAGGCTGATAACATGTCTTGGGGGTAGAGGGACCCTTATGCGTCCTGCTCTGGAGAAAGATTAAGATACATACAAAGGGACAAATAAAAGGGTAGTAATTTAGAGGACCCTGAAATCTAAGATTAATCTTCTGTCTTGAGAAAATAAATGGCAAGCCTTCCTAGCTGTCTCCTTCTTTTTCCTCATCTTCCTCCTTCTCCTTTTCCTCTTCAATAAGGAGAAACATTCTCTTTTTGGGACAGAAAACACACTCTTCTGTTTTCTTGAGGGGCTCCCGTGTCCATGTAGGTGGGAGACGGTATCATTTTTCAACATGTCTCGTTACGGCTCCAATATAAATGATAATCCCAAAATGTGCCATCGCACTTTGGCTAGGAAAAATCCTGGAAGCCAGAGAGCTGAATGGATCTTTCTCGGGGGTAAAATGTATCTGCAGGAGACCATTCTTTAAGGGGTATAAGAGGCATCCAGATGTTTGGGTTCAGTGTAAAAAGAAACGAGCAAATGCGATTTTCCCGTTTCCTCTCTCTAGGAAGATTGTGGCCGAATATGAGAAGACGATCGCCCAGATGATTGGTAAGCCAGTGCCCGGTTCTAGATGGCAGAGGTGGCCCAAGAGTGCCACGCTGCCAAGAGTGGGCTCTACGTTGGAGGGCTTCGCTCAGGATGGCAGGGGGCTTGTGGGTCCTGTGCAATTTGGTGATGTCTGAAAAAAGAATCCCAGTGGCTCAAACAAGGGAGCTGAGCTTGGAGCCTCTTCCTTCTGCATTAATATAATTTGGTGGAAGAGCTGTCGGCTGAAAATCCCGTAAGCCTCCTACCCCATTCTTCAAGCACACAAAAATAAGAAGCAGAACAGTCACCTCTCTGTGCAGAAATGTTCAAAAATTTCTCTTTGTTACACTGAAACCAACGGAGCTCTCTTTTCAAGGACCTATTAGCCAGTTTCAGCCCATGTAGGAAGGAAGAAGAACAAAGAACAGAGCACTGTGCCATCTTAAAGGCTAATGGGTGTGTTTCAGTGGGGACATCTGTGGATCGCCCCCTACTTTCTCAGGTACATGTCTGAGGCTCCTTCAAGTCTTGTAGCATTTTAAAGATGCAGACGTTTGATTTGGCATAAGTGTTTGTGGACTGTAACCCGTGTGGCAAAGTAAGCTACCGTCACAAAACTTTATGCCAGATCAAACTTGTTGGTCTTTATGATTGTATGCCCACTGGGATCATGGGCGTGCAATAAAAATCAGAATAAAATTGTCTTGCGTGGTTTCCTTAAAATGAAGCATGTAATCTATTGACAGCAAAAACTTAGATTTGGATTTGAGAAGGTGGTCTGTACAGTGTTCTACTGTATGACGATGGACTTTGAAGCAGGCTGCTAGAATCGTTTGAAGTGTAGCTTTATTGCAGGATGCTAAGACTTTCTTGGAGGGAATGGCCAGCAAAGAAATATTAACGTGAATGAACAAAGACACATACAATACAGAAAGCTAGACTGCTTTGGTCACATAATGAGAAAGAAAACAAGCAAAGGGAAAGCAGATGGTTACAGTTTGATTGTTCAAGGTGGAATAAATGCTGAAAAAACCTGCAGGCAGGCAGAAGACATTAGTGGCTGAAGCATCTGGCAAACTTGTTTCGATGCAGGATAAGCTCATTGTTTAGAACTGCTGTATCCAAAATTGAAATGAGTCCAAGGCTGTTGAACCTGAGGGAGGAGAGAAACAAGAAGATACTGCAAAATGTTTAATTTTTCTTCTTCCTACGAAAGTCTAGTTTTAGTGCTTGCAAAAGAACAAGTTCCTAGATCTTAAGGCTGTGAGATTAAGCCTTGAAAGCATGCATTCTTCCTAGAATCTGAGGTGGCTGAAGTTTTGCAATGCTCATGGGATGAAAAAGGCCCGTCTCTTGCAATCATCCAAATGTCTTGCTAGGCTTTGTTGTCCTCCAGATATGGCTGAGCTTCTGCTCCCATGAGCCTCAGCCAGAATGGCCAGGGGTTACCGTGGTGGAAATTGGATTCCACTAATACCTTGAGGACCACTGCTTGTCCATTCCTGGCTAAGAAAATATTGTTTTAAAATGATGGCAGAGAAAGAATGGAGGCTGAGCACAGGATTCTTCTGGACTTGGGGAGATTTTGAGCAGCTCGGCACTTCCTGTATTGATTGTTTAGCGCTCTCTTCTCCTATGACCTTGGCATTAAATCTAGATAAGAATGAAGCCTCTTTTCTGCTACAGGAGATCCACGTGGTACGACCCTCTCCCTTCCAGGCAGACGTAACCTTTTGCCTTTGTATTCACAGAGGATGAGCAGAGGACAAACATGGCATCGCAAAAGAGTCTCCAGCAGCTCACAATGGAGAAAGAACAGGCGCTGTCAGACCTGAATTCAGTGGAGAGATCTCTGTCTGACCTCTTCAGGAGATACGAGAATCTGAAAGGGGTCCTGGAAGGCTTTAAAAAGGTGCTCCCACCTGTTTCAAAGGACGCATTTGCTAGACCAAGGGTGGGGTCTGAGGGTTTCCATCACCCACCCCTGGACTTTGGAAGGGCACACTCTCTCCTATGTCCGGTCCATGTCCAAAATAATTTTTACAGGCTTTTTTAAAGACTGAAAAATCTCCCTCATGCCCCCTAATGGCCACTTTTTTAAAAATAAAAAATGTAATTTAGGAGAAACATCCCTTCCCCTTCCCTGGGTGCTGGTGGAGAGCTCCAGAACATGGCAAGATGGGTCTCCCAATCTCTCAAAGAGCACAAAAAAATCTTTTTAAAAATCAGGGGTGTGTGGAAGCTGGAGGTCTTCGGGACCTGTGGGGGCATATATTGCTTACTCCTCTGCAAGACAGCAGCATCTTAGTCATATATTTCATGCATTTGCTGCAGGCTGGATGTGTGTGTGTGTGTGTGTGTGTGTGTGTGTGTGTGTGTGTGTGTGTGTGTGTGTGTGTGTGTGTGTGTGTGTGAGTGTGAGTGTGTGTGTGTGTGTGTGTGTGTGTGTATCTGGCAGTTTCAAGCTTTGAATTGGATACTCAAGACTTTCCCTTACATTATTAAATCCACATGTTTTGCTGACTTGTGTTTTCTAGAACGAAGAAGCGTTGAAGAAATGTGCTCAGGACTATCTGAATCGCGTCAAGCAGGAAGAACAGCGTTATCAGGCCTTGAAAATCCATGCCGAAGAGAAGTTAGACAAGTGAGAAGCTTAAGGCATTCAGAGGCACGCGGGGCTAAAACTAGATTGGTGCTTATGAACTACAACTCCCGGAATTTTCCTGGTAGTGGCCTGGGGAATTCTGGGGACTGCAGTTCAAGAACCTAAATTTGCACCCCTCTAGGTAAAAAAAAGATTCAGTGTCTACAGCACAGCAGAAAGAAGCCTGGGTTGTGTGAGTCCCCCACTTCCATCTTGAGCTGCTTTTAAGTACTCTTGGGGGGTGGCAGGAAAAAGCAGGAAGCAAAGAAAAAGAAAGAGGCTTCAGTTTTACTTTAGTAGATGCCGAATCTGTTGTTTATGCAACCCTACTTTATATGTTTGTTTGTTTGCACCCATGTAACTGGGTTGGCAGTGATGGGTTATGATTGTACAGTGGTGCCTCGCTTAACGGGCACCCTGTTTAACGATGAAATCGCATAGCGATTAACTTTTTGCGATCGCTTTGCGATGTTCCCTATAGGGAAAAATCATGTTGCGATGATCGGTACCCTGTTTCGCTTACCGATCATCGCATAGCAATGATTTCCCAACAGCTGATCGGCAGTTCCAAAATGGCCGCTGGGTAAAAAAAATGGCCGCCCGCTGTTTTCTGGGACAGATTCCTCGCATACCGGGCAGCGAAAATGGCCGCCGTGTGGAGGATCTTCGCTTAAAAGTGAGTCTGAAGCCCATAGGAACGCATTGAAGGGGTTTCAATGCATTCCTATGGGCTCTTAAAAATCACATAGCGACGAAATCGCTGTGCAGCAATTTTTGCTGCACAGATTATCGTCGCTATGCAAGGCACCACTGTATTCCTGAAAATACAGTATGGGCCACAGTATCTACTGAGGATCGGTTCCGAGGCACACCCGCACCCCACCCACAGATGCTGAAAAACATGGATGTATTGAATGCAATGCATTGCATGGTCTCTGGCTCCCTTTAGTGGCCAGTTCTGGTGAACACACCCTGGAAATATGTATACATATATATAGATATTTCTGATGTTTTTTTATTTATTATTTTCAGCTAGCGGATAAGTGAATCAGGAGATATTGATCCTGCAGATGCGGGTGGGGGAGTTTCCTACTACACATCCTGCAGACAACGCTCTTCAGCTTCTAACTTGGCTGCACATGTTTTGCTTAGAAGTTCCATTAACCGTGGTTCAAAAGAGGGGGTGCTGTTGGTTTCTAGAGTGATTTGGAAGATAAATCTTCCCTCTCTCTCTCTCTCTTTGTCCCCCCACCTGGCCCTTGTAGAGCCAATGAAGAAATTGCTCAAGTGCGTGCTAAGGCCACAGCTGAGAGTGCAGCTCTCCACGCCGGGCTCAGGAAGGAGCAAATGAAGGTGGAATCTCTGGAAAGAGCCCTCCAGCAAAAGGTAACGGATCTTCCCTCTCCTGCTGCTGGACTTCCTGGTTTTCCCATCTCTCTGTTGGGAAAAGCACCTGGGTGTCTGCACTTACATGTTGTTTGCAGTTCATCGGATGAAACCCTGTTATGCAGCTCTGCGTGCATAATGGTGATGGTGTCATCGTCGGCAGCAAATCACCACTGATTAAAGGCAAACTGACACCGGTTCAGGGTGATTTTGGGGTGGCCATGTCTGATAGACAATGTGATGCAACCACATGCATCCCAAAATCCCCAATGGAAGTGTTTCATCAGCTTTCCACTGCAGGCAATGTCATTCCATTATGCATGAGGAGCTGCACAACAGGATTTTATGGTTTTATTGTTTTTGTCCTGGAAGGGTTGCTTTCTGATTTGAGATGTGATGGTGGCCTTCCCAGTTGACAGCATTCAGGAGAGGGCATATATGCCACAGAGCACATGGGACCAGCACAGTGTACACACAGAGGACTGTGTGTTTGTAACTTAACTTTTAAAGTGACATTGCTGCTTTCTTAGGTATGGGAGAGATTTTTGACAGAGAGATGCTTTCAAGCCTGCCTCTTCCCATGTATACATTGATGTGACTGCACTGTGAGGAAAACCCAGTTTATTTAGAGTTTGTCAAACCTGGTCTGTGCAGCTTCCCACAGGTGAAAGTACCATAACTGTCCACATGTTGCAGAAGCCCACAGAGGCTGGGGCGTAAATCTGTAATGAAGAAGAGAGCCATCTTTGTTGATTAGCAGTTTCCACTGGGATCACCACTTCCCCCATCCATTTAAAAATATCTGTATAAATATATATATTCCATTAAAAAAAATTATGCTTGCCAAAGTAGTGCTGTACCAGGTAAGCACTATGTCACTTTAGAAAATGTATATATATATTCTAAAGAGACATAGCGACACAGGACTACTTTGGCAAGCATAATTTTTTTAAATGGAAAAAAATTTCAAGGAGGGAAGACAGGAAGTACTCAGTTCAAGGGAGCCAATGTAACAGCATGCCCAATGACACTCCCCATAACCGCCGCTTTGAATAATCAGGTGATGACTCATACCAGAAAGCATGGACCAGCAATGTCTGCCAAATCAGAGCAAAATAAACTACCACCTGCAAGCTGAACAAAAAAAAAGAGTCATTTCTCCAGTGAAATACACTGGGTTTGCCTGTGCTAAGCTTTACATCATTTAAACATTTACACTGTTTTTAAATTTTGATTTTATCTGTGCTGAATCCAGCACAAACTGGGGGGATAAACAGCCAATGTAATTGTGCCTACAACCACCTTTTTAAATATTTATATCAGTTCTTGGTTTGCCTTTTCCACTTGGGAGGGCAATCATGGATGTGATTAGGTCACGTAGTAAATGTGTCATGAAACTGGGCTGTTGAATCAACTGGTCACGATTCGGGAAGCTACCAGCAAAGCTCATATGCCCCTGGTTGGGTAATCTCTTTAATTTAGGAAAGCAAAATGTATGTACATTGAATTGTCAGTATTGTGTTCTTATCTTGCAGTCTGGCTGCTTTTATTGTTTGCTCTTGTATGATGGAGTGAGTCATCGTCTTTTTATTGTCTTTTTATTGTGTTTGATTTGTATTGTTATCCTCCTGGTCACCACTTCGGCGGCCCTAGGAACTCAAAAGGAGCAATAAGGCTGCCAATGATATTTTGTATTCTGAAGAAGGCTCTTGAGTGCATTTTGGTAAACTTCTTAAGTATTTAGGGCCGATGGTCCTTTCGGAACCATAGAAAAATGGCTGCATAAGGATTAATTATTAAAACAATTAAAAGATTCCACTTGGAAATCTACAAGTTTGTCTCTTAATTCTTGTCATTCTTTTTTCTATGGAACTGTTTGACAGTATAGTTTTTGTCTGAGATTAAGAACCTGCAGCCACCTTGATACTGTTGAACTAGTGTTTGAAGAGACGCTTGTCCAGCAGGCCGAGGCAAAGAGGCAGTCCCAAAAGCAGCAAAACCAGGGAGCTGGACAGGGGACAGATTGGATTTGTCCTCAGTGTGGAAAGGATGGTCACTCTCGAATTGGCCTCTTCAGTCACACTAGATGCTGTTCCAAGTCCTTTATACAGAGCACACCACCATAGTCTCTCAAGACTGAAGGATGCCTACTACTACAGTGTCCCACAGTGTAGTTCACCTAGAAGTGAAGTAGCAGTGGAGTACATCTTGGAAGACTGCTTGTTGTCCGTCTTGGTCTACATGATCTATCCTTTTAATCAGGGATGCTGGCAGGTCTTCGGGCCTGAGTCCCGGGTTTGAGTCTATGGGTCTAAGTTAAAGATGTAAAATTTCCGAAAATCTCAATTTTTTTTTCCAGAAAAAAACAACAAAAAATTCTTTTCCGGAAAAAAAAATGGAAATTTCCAGAAATTTTACATCTCTCCTCAAGAGTCTTCAGTAAATTTCTATTTTTTCCTATAAAAAACATTTTTTCTTTGGTGTGTGTTTTTTTTAATGGACATTTTCGGAAATTTTACACCTCGAATCCAAGTTGTGAGTCATTGGCTTGGTCCTTGGAACTTGGACCCAAAGACTCAGACTGCGCATGCACCACCTAGTTGATAGGCTGGCACATGCGCAGAAGATAGCAGGCCGACTTCTCAGAGCCAGCCCCTGCCTTAGTGCATGGGTGGTGGATACGTGGGTGAAGGCAGACACCGATTTCTTGGGAGGGAATACAGGTCTGATGCCCCTGAGAATGATGTTGGGGACGTCAGTGGGACTCTGAACATGAGTTGCAAGTGAAGTCTGAGTCTTTTAAAAAAATATCTGAGCGACTCTCCAGTGCCACTTAAGTTGGAGTCAACTGCATGTCACCCACCGTGAGTCCCTGCTTTCCACTGGTTCAGTCTGTGTCGCTGCTGTTGTATCCTGCACTGGTAACATGGAAGTGATGGAAAAGATTTAATTCTTCGTTTCTTCTCCATCTGTGTATGTCTTTCAGAACCAGGAAATCGAAGAACTGACTAAGATCTGTGATGAGTTGATTGCCAAACTGGGGAAGACCGACTGATCCTTGTCTCCCTTGCCCAGAGCACCACGCTCAGCTGCTGCCTGTGGTCAGCCTGCATCCCCAAGCGAGCACCTTGCCTTATTTTCCAGAAATAATCTCTCCCCACCAACCACCCCTGCAAGAGAGAGAAGAAGCACAGCCTCCCCCTCACCCAACCTCGGTGTCAAAATGTTCCCACCTGCAAGGCCAAGAAGGTGGAAGCTCTGCTCTCTGCTCATTGCCTAGAGTTATTCTGGTTTATTGCTTCCCAGCTGCATTTCTGTGACCTGGTGTGGGCAGGCAGCCTTGACTGTAGGAGCCCGGCTGATATAAGCAGGCTGCATGTTACTGATGCTGCCATCTCTGCAAGGATGCAGTTGAGAACAGGGCTAAGCTGCTCCTTAAGTAGGGTGACTTTCCAGTCCATCCAACGTATCTGGTGCACAGTGTCCTGATGAAAACAGAGTTTCCGGATAATGCTTGCAATTGGGTGGTGGGTTGGGTCGGGCACAGTTTGCTAGAGCTGGTGTTCCATGGTCTGCGGTGGCAAAGGCACTAGTGGAACATGGGCTTTGCTGTATTTGAAGTCAGGAGAAAATGAGGCCGATGCAGCTGTTTCATGATGCCCAGGTTGGCCACCTATGGCATCCAGAATTTTGGGTCAGCCATGATCAGGTAGGAGGAAGGAAAGAAAGAAAGAGCACCTGTTCCGTCCTCGTTATTATTATGAATAACAGTCGGGGGCTACTTGAACATGAAGACTTTGGCAACCTGGGAAGTCTTTGCCGTAGTCAACAGTTTGATCTTCAAGTTTATGGCTTGGCTGTGAAGACCAACGTGGTTGCCCTGCTAGAACATACATTTCAGTTAGTACGCTTGAACGCCATAGCTTGAGGATGCTGTCCCTTCACGAGAGAGCAGAAGACAGAGAGCACAAAGTTCCCATTTTCCATCTGAAATGGAGGGTGTTCCATATATTTTATCCTTTGTTAAGGCAATCTTTGTTAAGATGCTGCTGTTTTCTCTTTGGAAGCCGGCCGGCGGAGCAGAAGTCCTAACTCCTGCATCCATCATTGTGTCCACTTGAAGCACCTTTTCCTTCTTCTCTCGAAGTTCCCTGAGAATCTGAATTCATTTCAGTCTTGGGACATGTCACAAGGAATCCCACCAGGCCAGACTGTAGGCAGAGTAATTTCAGTTGGCATCTGGTGGTCCTGGCAGTTAGAAGCTGTGGTTGTTCTATAAATTTAAGAGAGAGAGGAGTACTAGTTACACTTACCAGCCTGTTCCTCCCCCCAAAAAAGCCATCAACTGGACTCATTCCTCAAGTCCATTCTGATTTCTTGGTCCATTGATGAACCAGTGAAGCACTTTGATTACTCCGGCAAGGAATAATCAACCCCTCCCAAGGGCCAGCGTTAAACTGATGCACCAAAGGTCTTCTGACAGTACTTGTAGGTTGGTTCATCTGCAGCTTTTTTGTGCATAGTAAATTTCACATGCCGTCTTTAGGATCTTCAGCATCTTGAGAACCTCTGCTACCATGTGACGTGTCTATTTTCCTTGGTCAAACAAGATCTCTAGCCCTTATGGTTGGGCCAAATGCCTTTAATGACATATAGGCTGCACCTCCAATGCTCTGGAGGTGGAACCTGAATCGTAGCCACCCATTGACCCTCAGGGTGTTTGGGGAGCTTAATGTGGGGAAGGGTGCCCTCCCCTCATCAAATCAATAGTGAAAACCCTTTTCCTTTTGAGCAGAAAGAGCCAGCCTTTCCAGTGAGGTGGTTTGGTTCCTCAGCAAGCTTGTCTGGAATGTCTCACTTTTTATTCACGTGTCACGGTAGACTCCTCCACTGCAACACTCTTGTCACACTCTCCTCTCACCTTTCTCACGTCCATCCCCTCACTGCCACACTGCTTCTGGCCAGCAGCTTGTGGTTGTGAAAGGGGGCACACTCAGGATCATACACTAGGCCAGCCGACAGGTGTGTGTGTGTGTGTGTGTGTATGTGTGTTTGGAGCCTGGCATCTTGAACTTTAAGCTTTGGGCCCCAGGATTCTTCACCTGGTTTGTTTGCTTCTTTTAAAACATTTTATGCAGCTTTTTGCTCACCCGGAAGTGGCTGGTAGCAAGCAGAAGGGAGCGCTGGAAGAGGCACTCCTCCGTCCTGTCTCCCAGCTACAGGGACAATTCCTATAAATGTTGGTTAATCTACTCCTCTTGATGACAATGTGGAGGGACGAGGCTTACCCATCAATTCTTGGGAGACTGGAGGTGAAGCCTGTTGCGTTACCCTCCTGCGTGTGAGTTTTCAATCACGTCGTCAGGTTCCCCCGGACTGCACTCCTTCTCCAACCTGGTGCTTTGCCCACTGTGTTGGACTACCATGCACATAAACTACAGCCAGCTGTGGATTATGGAGGGGCGTAGTCTCATAACCTCAGGGGCACCCAAAGTGAGGAAGGCAGGCTGGGCTGTCCCAAAAGGGGAGGTGGAAGCAAAGACGGGAGAGATTTCCTCCAGGGACAGCCCGGCTTTCTCCTCCTCAGACCCTGTAGCTTTAGCCCAGCGTCCAGTTGTTGGCCAGCTGTTCAGTGGTTGCACTTTTTGTCCATTGTGTGCATGTGCGCGCACGAACTCACTCACCTGCGCACCGTGCCAAACACCCTCTTGTCTTGTGTGCCTCCCAAGCCTGCCACTGGAATGTGGGTGAAGAAGATTCCTAAGGAATGACAATTATTAACTATAATATGGTTATTATAGTCTGTGCGGATATGAAATATATATTAATATATAGTGTTGCACTATATATATATAATGGTTATAGTTCTATATAGTGGGTGGTGTGTGTGGTATAAATTGGTAAAACTGTTATACCTAATAGGATCTGGTGAGCCAAAAGGAAATGATGTCCGAGCTGGCTGTCTTTATAATCTCATCTCTGTCGGATTCTTCTTTCCATCTTCTTTCCTTTGCAAGAGGATTGGAAAGGGGATCGGCTGGCTGGCAGGCAATGGGTTTCAGGAGGGAACATTTCCTGTGTCCGCACCAGCAGGCGGCCGGTTTTAGTGCTTTTACAGCATAGCTCTCTCACGTAGAGCTTGAAGGCAGCCCCCATACCAGCAAAGGGGCCAGTCCTCATCCAGTTGTCCCTGCATTCGGAAGCAGGTTTGACACTGGGTCATGCCAGGCTGCTATGCCCACACCTGCTTTTGAACTGTCTTGAATACCTGGACACAACTTGGTTCTGATGACAGCAGAAAATGCAGGTAGTCCGTGCTCAGTATAGATCCGTATACATTGATTATTCTCCTTCCGATGCATGTCAAAGTAAACCGGCCACTGTCTGCGCCTTCGGCTGAAAATCTAGGGGCCAGGAAACTCCAGCTAGACCTTAGAAACATCCGTGTTAAAGCTAAAATGTTACCATCCCTTAGAAAATTAAATCGTGAATATGAAGACGTTTGAGTGGGTATTTTAACAGCAGGTCAGTATATGTGCACTGTTAGTGGCGTGTTACCTTTAAATTTTAAAATCGTCAGTTAAAAGCTGTGAAAATGGCCATCCTCCACAAATTACCACCAACAAGTAATTGGAAGTGATTTTGTTTTGCAAGTGATTGAAAGAAAAACAGGTTGGTTAAACATTCTAACAAATTACAGGTAACCAGTTAAATTTTAACAGTTCCGAGCGTGGTTCTTGCAGTATATTCTGGCGTCTGTTCTTCCACGTTAGGGGAAGTGCTCAGAATAAACTTGACCTGTGCAAGGCCTCGCTCATTTATTTGCCATCCTCCACGCAGCACTAATCCAGACGGAGCAGTTGTTTCTGTACGTCCTGATGGTTCTAGTCTTTTCCCCACCATCCATACGACGTTAGCTTATCCCGCTAGTTCAGTGCTTTTTTCACTGACATTTTGTATCTTTCGATACTTCCGATCGCCGTCGCTTGTATTTCGTCTTGCTTTTTTCCTGGGATAAGGAGGTAGAGTTCGTTACTATGGTGCTTCTTTTTTGGGGAAATTCACCGGGACGGCTGCGAGACTCCCAGTCAGAAAGTCACAATTCATCAGAAGCTCTAGCAAAGAACTGAACTTCTTAAGTATTCTTCAAAGAGTTCTTTAGAAGTTTTCCTATGGAGAGACAGTTACCTGAGAGAGAAGAAAAGTGGCTTTTAAAGAGAGAGTTTAAATGTGAATCCGGATGATTCCCATCCTTTTCCAGAGCCAAGAGGGTGAAACTTTTGCTCCATTCTGAAGGGCTTTCAGATGTTTCTGTAGGCGGGGGGGGGGAATCCACACACTATTGAATTATATCCTGATATCACACCAATACCTGGTGAAAAGTTGTAGTAGATCAGAGATGAGCATCTTTTGCAAACGGATGGATGCTGCAGCACACGTCTTCCCTCTCCATTGGTCCTCTGCCTAGAGCTCACAGGACAGGCTGTCCAACAACATCACAGTTTCCTGTCTTGGACTGGATCCCGTTTAATAGAAATCCAACATGGCGGCTGTTTGCTTCTCCCCAGAACTGCCACGCTTCACCCTCTCTGCCTTGAAATCTAAACAAGCCCCCCTTTGTACCAAGGAGCCTCCCTACCGAACCACGGTCATTGCTCTCTGTCTGTGTCCAGTTGCCCGAAGCTCTTGTATGTTGCAAAACGTCTCGTAAAAACTCCGTCGTAAGCTGACTGTTAATTGAGTGCCCGGTGCCATCGGGCAAAGATCCTCCCCCAGGCCAAGGCAACCCTGCAGTCCTGCTTGCTTTGTACAGTGGGTGTAAGCTCCCACCTTCACATATTTGATATGTATGATAATTTCCCTTTTCTATGTCAGGTAAATATTTGTAAGAATTATACTCACACAAATGAGATTATTATAAGGATTACTAATATATTTTTCCCATGTTCCATTGCCTGAATAATAATAATAAAAAATGTGTTTCCAAGCTGGGTATGCTTCCTCCCTACCTCTTTTTCTTGTATGGAAAGTTTGTGTTTGGGGGTGGGGGGGGAAGGAAGCTCTTATTTCTAGTTTCATTTTTAAAGGCTGACAGCCCTGTGCTTTTGAGGCATACATGTGGCACATTTCCAGGACTCTGCTGGAGCAAGTTTATCATAGAATCCTAGAATAATGTGTTGGAAGAGGCTTATAAGGCCATCAAATCCAACCCCCAGTTTAAGGCAGGAATCCAAGGCAAAGCAGATCTGACAGATGTTTGTCCAATCTCCTCTTGAATGCCTCCAGCACTGGGGTGCTCACCACCTCTTGAGGTCATAGGTTCCATTGTCGTACTGTTCTAACAGCTAAGAAGTTTTTCCTGATATTCACCCTAAATCTGGCTTCCTGCAGTTTGCCCCCATTCTTATGTGTCCTGCACTCTGGGATGACAGAGAACAGATCCTGCCCCTCCTCTGTACGACTATTGTTCAAGTATTTGAAAAGTGCTGTCCTATCTCCCTTCAGTTGTCTTCTCTCAAGGCTAAATATGCCCTGTTCTTTCAGTCTTTCCTCATGGAGCTTGGCTTCCAACTAGCTGTTGATCCTTGCTACCCTTCTCTGAACTTGCTCCAGTTTGTTGGCATCCTTCTTCAAGGTTGGTGTCCAGAATTGTATACAGTATGCAAGGTGAGGCCTGACTACTGCTGAATAGAGGGGAACTAGTACCTCGCAAGATTTGGGGACTATACTTTGTTCAATTCAGCCTAAAATCACATTTGCCTTTTTTGCAGCCACATTGCCCTGCTGGCTCACGTTCAGCTCATGCTCTACAATAGTTCCAGGAGCCTGCTCACAATACCTTTGATCTGACCGCAACATTTTGTTATTGTTGTGAAGAGCCACAGGAGGCCTGGTGGGTAGGTTGGTGAGGGACTCTAAAGACTTAGGCTTTGAGGTCAATGGGGAAAAAAAATCTCACATTGCCTAAGGAGTGCAGGATTGCTTGACTCGCCCCCTTGAGTACTTCCAAGAACTACTCCAAACTACAAATTCCAGCCATTTAACATGGAATCAAAGTGCTAAAACTTCAGAATGCAGATAAGACTCCCTGGAAGTGGGATGGAGTCTTTCCCCGCGGACAGCGATTTAGGAGGTACGTCCAATTCTGTCTTCCAAGAAATGGGAAGTCCTAGGGGTTCAGGAGGAATACTTGGGAGAGGCTACTGTTGTCCATCAGCATCTGCAATGGAGGTGGTTGTGAGACTATTTCCACTGTGTGAATGAGAGAAATGGAAGGTTTTTGCATATTGAATCATCTGAAAATCAGAGGTCCTCACTGTCAGTAATAGCATCTCCAGTTGGAGGAGCAATTTAGCTAGGGACTATTTAACATGGGGGAGGAATGAAAGCCAAGAATTGGCCACTAGCCAGGATGCTTGGAAAGGGGAATATGGGAACTGTAGTCCCCCAAAAGTAACTTTTCCTAAGCTTTGGGTCTGGAAACCCAGTTTGTGCAAGCATAAACCAGCAGTAGAATGGTGGCCAATAATTTTTCAAGTGTCATGTCAGTCTCTTACCCATTTTTTGTTAAAGTAAAAGAAAGTGGTAAGAAAGCAATGTGCTACTGCTGAGCCCCATTTTTTGTTAAAGTAAAAGAAAGTGGCAAGAAAGCAATGTGCTATTGCTGAGCTTTGAATTTCTGGTTAAATCCCTCTAGCTGTTGAGCAGAAATGCAGAGACTTGAATTTCTGGTTAAATCCTTCTAGCTGTTGAGCAGAAATGCAGAGATTCACAAAACAATGGCTTCAAGTTTCCAAAAGTGGACCACCCCTATTTCTCATTGACTGGCACCTACGGTCTCAAAAATTCACTCTGAGATTCTAGTAGGAGAAAGAATGAAAGGTTTAGTTTCGTGCAGTTGAACATAGAGCAATCTAAGAACATGACTGTCCTCAACAACAGACTCTTGGCGGAGAGGGAGAGCAGAGAGACTCGGCGCTCTTTGAATCCAGAGGCAGGAGGAAAACTATTGATTGGTAAGTGCTGGATGGATTGAGGGTCACCCCATTCCAGAAAGGTCCCTTGCCACCAGAACCTGGACATTTTGGACTCCAAATCCCAGAATCCTAGCCAGTTCTGCCTGCAGGACTCTGTAATCCAAAAAGTAATATGCCCAAGATCTGGACACAAGAAGTTACTTTTATCACCACTGTAATGATGAATGCATTAGATTGTGCACTCTTCACTTTTGTGGTTTTCCTTTCCTTTTTAAGTTTATGATGATGATGATGATGTGTAAGGTTCCCTTTTAAGACGTTCCTGCCTTTCAGCTTCTAGTAAATTCACTTTACTTGGTTTCCTGTTTCCCCATGGTGATAGCCTAGGAAATAAAACAGCTGCTTTTTGCTGACGTTTTCCAAGAAAGCATCATCTACAGTAGATCTTCTGCTTTCTCCCTAGTAATTGCAATGTTCTGTATTAAAACAAGACGACAGAACAAAAATCTCTGAGTATCTTTTGTACATCTTGTGACTGGCTCAAGCTAGCTCTGGAAGCCTTTTTTTCTGCACCAGAGTCAGAGGAGAAAAGATCACACAGGCAAAGCAGAACTATTTATAGAGACTGGGAATCTTGCTACTTGCTTCCTTGACAGAAGATGGTTCTCCTCTGCAGCAGTTTTGTGTGAATGTGTTGCAGGCCAGCATCAGTGCCTTGTACCATGGTCTCTTGAGAGCACAGGACCTGGAAAGAAGGTGAACTACACCACTGTACTGATAGAAGTTTCAGTAACCTGCAGTTTTCACCCATTCCTAAATTGATGGGGGGGGCAGATTCCCTCCACATCTTGGCAATCAGTGGAGGAAATGTCAGCTCTTGATGTAGAGTACTCGTTATTAATAATAATTGTGTGTTATCAAGTTAATTCTGACTTGTGACTATTTCCAGGGTTTTCTAGGTAGACAGTACTCAGAAGTGGTTTACCCTTTCCTTCCTCTAGGGGGAGCCTTGGGACTGTGCAGCTTGCCCAAGGCCACCCAGGCTGGCTTTTCTCCCAGGAGGGACAGTCAACCTCTCAATCTCTAGCTCCACGCCACTGAGCTATCCAGCTGGCTAGACCACTAAAAAATAAGTAAATCCACAAATGTATGCTAGCTTCTGATCTCATACAGACAGGTCTTCACCAGGCTGGGTGTCAGAGCGGTGGAGAAAAAAAACATAAATGTTTCCCAAATCCTAGCCAGATGTGCCTGCCGGACTCTCTTCTTGGGAAAATAAAATTTCAAAACAGGAGCTGCAGACAGGTTCTGAGATGGGCATTTCAAATTCCACCTCTAGTGATGTGGATTGGATGTTTTTCCCAACCTTGTTAGACAAAAGAGTAGCACTCTTTGAAAAGTGCTGTCCCATCTTCCCTCCATCTTCTTTCCTCAAGGCCAAACATGCCCCGTGCTTTCCGTCTTTTCTCCTAGGGCTAGGTTTTTCTTGGAAGACCTTGGCAGAAATTCCATAACCGCTGCCAAGTGGTGAAGCAAGAGCATCTCTGGGTTTCGGTTTTTGTTCTTTTTTTTAAATTCCAGAATACAAATCTAGAAGATCCAGGTATTCAAGACAGCGCTCCTTTTCTAGGTTGCTTCCAGACAGTCAAAATGCACTGTACAGCTATTCCATGACAGCTTCCTGACCTGATTTCCCTCAATAAGAAGAAAAACCAAAGAAAATTAAAATCAGGAGCCTTATGAGTGGAACATGCTGTTGTCTGGAAGCTGCCACCCCCACCCTTCCAAAAAAAAATTCCAATGAGGAAGGGGGGTTGCACAGTAAAATAGTTCAGCAATTGCTAGTCCCTGCTTGAATAGATCAATGAAATCAACGGCTGTTGAATCTGTTTCATTGATTTAATTTCACTAGAGTGGTCCTATTGAATTCAGGCACCCATCTAGAAATGCTGCACATCTACTCAGCCCCCCATTTGGGCTCCGAAATTTCTTGCATTTGCTTTCATAACTACACAGAGCCCTCAAGTGGCTAGGTACTGGCTTGTTCACTTGCCCAAACCACCCCCACATCCCCCGGGGAACAGCTGCATGCTTTGAGTTTTGCTGGTGATGCGTCAAAAAGGAAGTGAGCGCTAACATCCCCAGGGGAAAACAGAGTTGGCACAGGGCTAAATGGCTGGAAATGGAATCAGTTTAAATAAACAAGACATCTGGATAGAGAAATGGCAGCTTATTCATGTTTTCTCCTGCTCATTCTTGGAAGTCCTGGTACAACATGGCCATGTATCAGGACTTCCAAGTATCATTTACTTAAAGTCAATTGTATCATTTACTTCAAGATGTATCATTTACTTCAAGTCAATTGTAACTCAGAGTGACCCTTTTCAGAGTTTTCCAGGTAGAGAATACACAGAAATGCTTTACCTTTACCTTCCACTGGGGGCGCCTTGGGACTGTGCAGCTTGCCCAAGGCCACCCAGGCTGGCTCTTCGAGGCAAAGTCGGGAATCGAACTCCCAACCTCTGACTCCACAGCCAGATATCTGACTGAGCTTTCCAGCCAGCGACACTAAAAGTTAAATTGCCCCATTTTCTCTTTCTGTTTTCTCATTCACACATCCCACCCCCCAGGAAAGAGTCAGAAGCAAGGCACAGAACCACACATTATTACTCCTGTTCCTATATATCATTTAATAAAATAGTGATGTTTACATACATTATGTTTTGCAAAGAAGAGGAATGACATATCCCTGCCATGGGGAGCCTACAGTCTAAAACAGGTGCACAAAAAGGACAAAAGAAAAAGATAGTGGGGTTATGATCATGAAACAGAGGAAAACTATGTGGTTAATTTAATTACACTTACTAAGTACTTTTCACCTACAGGGGGAAGATAGAAAATCACTGGGACCGATTATCATTTGCTTAAGAAGATCTGCAGCCAATGTATAAATAAATGTTCTAAATTATAAACTTATAAGATCTGGAAGTTGTGACAAGGCCCCACCTCAC